TTTATATACCTTCTCCCTCGCGGAGGGGTGAGGGTTTCCTACACAAGCATTTCCTTCCACCCCTACCTAGCACTGGCCCACCCATGAGTCCTATGTACAACTTTCTCTTCGCCGCCCTCCTCCCTTGGCTTGGTCGTGCTTTCTCCCCTCCGGTAGGCCTGTTGATCGCCCTGCTGTCGTTCTCGTTGCCGAGTTCCATTTTTTTGCCTTTTTTTTTTTCGTTTTTCTCCCAGGTCCTGTATAACAAGACAACACCCGCAATATGCCCCGCATCCACACATTTCCCCCAGTCCGGTAGACAACTCCCTTTTCCCAAAAACGCCCCTAGTATCCTTGGCATCATGCCCCTTTTATACATTTCCCTCCCTTATGCAAAAGCGTCGTTTGTGAAGATCTCATTTTTTTTCCATAAAAAACTATGGTACACTGCCCTAAACATCCCTTCCCGTCGTCGCACAAGCCAGATATTGCAAATCCCCAAGTCATGCTACCTTTCAACCTCAGTCAGTCCAAGCCATTGCCCCAGTCCCCCAAAAATGACAGTCCCATGGACATGGTCAGAGACAAACCATAGTGTGGGCAAGGCTATGGTCAGTCTTTAGCTTGTGGCTCCTCAGTTTCCTTATCTTCGGCCTCCTGAAGCCATTGTTCCACTGGGTCCCGGCTTAGAAACCTGACCAATCGTTGTCCCGGGAAGGGCCCTTTCAATCCAGTTCCATCCAAATCTTCCAGTTCGAAGGTGTTCAGTCCCACCCGCTTGGCGACCCGGTAGGGACCTTTGAACCTTCTTCCCAGCCGTCCCGACCAAGTACTTTCTAGTGTCGAGTTCCTTAGCAATATCATCTCTCCCTCTTGAAGTGGCTCCTTTCTGACATTCTTAACCTGGTATCACCTTGCTTTGTCCCTCATTCTGCTGTCTAGTACGCGGTTGGCGATGTCTTCCATGATCTCCTCGTTCTTAAGGATCTGTTGACATTTTTCCTCGATTAACTCTTCAGTGGTCATTTGCGGATCATCATCTAACCTATTCCAGATAGGTACCAAGGCTTCCATAGGAAAGTCGATCTCTCTTCCGTGCCAAAGCTCTGCCGGGATACATCCTGTTGTCCTTTTAGGGGTCATATTCTCTGCAAAGACAGCCTGCTTAAGATACCTAGGGCAGTTCCCCAGATGGTCTGCTGCGAGCTTCGCAATCGTGTTCTTCAAGGTTCGGTGCCCCTTTTCCACAGGTGTATCGGCCTCAGGGTGATACGGCTCGATGAGTTTGATCGGTACGCAGTGTCTCTTAAGCATCCCCAATACTTCTTGGTTGACAAACTCCGTCCCATTGTCTGCTATAAACCTCCTGACGAACGGGTGCCTCAAGTACAAGTCTTCTACCCAGTCCGCCACACTCCTCCCTGTCTTTTTCTTGAGGGTGACCGCCTCCACGAACCCACTCAAGTTGTCTCATGCATCCAGGATATACCTGTACTCATCCCTTGATACAGGCATGACCGCAAGGTCGAGGTGGACCAGATGTCCCGGCCCTTGCACCCGCGTTGGTCTAAGCGGCTCGAAGACCCGCACCGAGCTTCGTTCTTGGCAAATAAGGCAAGTCTGGCAGTATATGGCGACCATGCCTACCATGCCTCGCCAATAATAGAGTGGCGTCATCTTTGCAAGCGTTCCTTTGGACGACCGATGACGTTCAGCCAACCCATCGTGCATTGCCTGAATAACATCTACTTCCCTAGATCTTCCGCACACAACCCTTCTGGGCATAGCACCTTCCTCCCTTCGGAACAAATGCATGTCCCTTAGGACGTACCTTTCGGTTTCTTCTCTTGCTTTAATACTGACTTCCGCGGGTTGTTTGTTTCCTACCAATAACAGCCCGATCTCCCGAAAGAGCCCTTCGTATGATTGAACATAGAAAAACTCCTCTCCTTCCTTGCCCCCATCCTTTCCTTCCTACATCTGATTTACCACCCATTGCAACTCTTTCCTTTCCCAAGATTCCGCTAAGCTCATCACTGTTTCCCAGCCTCCCTCGACCGCCATTGCTATTAGCTCCTCTTTCGGTCCCACTATCGTTCCTCATGAGTCATTTTCTTCTCTGCGTCCTCGAGTGGTGACTGGTCCTTTTCCAAGTTCTGCTACTACGGCAGGTGCCCCCTTCTTCAAAGTCTGGATCAATAGTTCTCCCGATGTGCATCCTTCGCTCATCCTTTCGTTATTCACTGCAAGAGTTCCTCCTTCGTATTCGAGGAACGCGTCTATGGGCTCCGCATCCTCCACCCCTTCGGGAGTGATGCAGACCCGGCTCAACCCATCAGCCTTGTTCCTAATTTCCGCAATCCGTTCGATCTTATAATCAAACTGCCAGATAAATCCTACCCATCTCCCAACCGTCGGATCTATAGGCCTGTAATTTTTTAAGGCCTCTGCAACATTCGTCGGATCGATCCTGAGGATGAACCGCCTCCCAAATAGGTAGGCCTGAAAGGTCTTAAGATAGTGCAAGACGGCTAGGACCTCCTTCTTGAACTGTGAGTACCGCCGCTCTGTGGAGTTCAGGGTTCTACTTTCAAACCTAAATGGCCTTTCTTTTCCTCCCTCATCCCTTTGAATCAATACACCTTCTACGGCCAAAGGTCATCCATCCGTCTCTGGGATGAAGGGTCGTCCCACTTCGTCATTAAAACAAGGCGCGGACAGGGCGACTGTCTCAGATGTCAATATGTCCTTGAGCCTTTGGACAGCTCCTTCTCGCTCCTCCATCCAATTCATGGTTCCGTCTTCCCTGATCATAGCCCAGATAGGCTCAGCAATCTTGACAAAGTTCTTAATGAAGATCCTCCAAAAGCCGACTACGCCTAGGAATGCCCTTACCTCCGTCGTCGTGCGCAGTGGTGTCGGCCACTGTGATATCTTGTCGGTTTTTGCCGGACCCGGCTTCCTGCCGTAAGCACCGCAACGAAATCCTAGTATAGTTATCTCTGGTACTACTAGGATACTCTTTGGTCCACTAGCCGTAATGTTGTATACTAGGAACCGACGGAGTAAGTCCTTGATGTCCTGCAGGTGGTCCCACACAAAACGTCGGATCCCTGGCTGGACTTCCGTCTCGTCCTTCTCCTGCGCGCCTTTGATCGGATTGTCATCGATGTAAGGCTCACATTTTTTTGGGAACATGTCCCCGGCCACGGCGAGCATCCTGCATTGCGCTTCAGCCACCGCGTTTGTGAATCCCATAGGGGTCACTTGCATCTGTAGTTGGCCTACGGGGGTGTGCATAGCGGTGTATGGTCTGTCCCGAACATCCAATGGAAGCTGGTCGTACCCTGAGTACAGATCTATCAGGGAGTAAATGCTCCGACCGGCGTGCGATTCTGCTAATAAGTCAGCCTGAGGTAGCGAGTTAGCATCCCGGATGGTTACCGCATTCAACTTCTGCAGGTCCTGAATCCACCTTAGTGTCTTGTTAGGCTTCCGAAAGACGAACCACCGATTTGCGTATGGCGATGCCGTAGGCTCCGCAACGAAGGAGTCCATCTTTGCTCAGAGGAGGTCTATTACTTCTCCTGCTATCCCAAATTCATAGGATGACCCCTTGTCATTCAAACACTCATGTTCTACCGTGTGGATTCTGACCGGAGGGATCAACTTCGCATCCAGTCGTCCCTTCTAGTGATCACTAAAGGCAAATCCCAGGTGAAACTCCTGGCAGGTCCTTTTGATCAGGCGGGTTTCTGCTTCCGTTAAGAACCCGTCTATCCCTATCTTCATTGTCTCAGCTACCTCATCTGGTATCCGATGTTCCTCTGTCGCCCTTCTTTCTCGGATCACTCAAAGGACCTCTTCCTCCTTCTCCATAGCCTCTTCCTTTGATGTCTCTAGCAGGATCGAGACCGGTTTTGCTTTCTTCTCTACCAGCTTGTACTTTCGAACACTTCCTTCCGGGATCTTTCTCCTAAAAAATGAACTGTCGGAATCGTCCTCGTCGCCTCTACGACTCGTGGTTGAATACTAACTAGTTTCCCATTCAGGCAATATCCCTTTTGCACCTCTCTTTCGAACTTGGCCAGACTGCCGAATCCACTCCTACCTTGTGGTATCTGAGGGCCTTGATGAGTTGTAATAGATCGGGGATCTCGAGTGTGATTTCTGGCACGTCTATGAGTACTTCTTTCCGTTTGGGCAGGCTAGCACTAAGTTCGACCTCTGACTCCTTTTCCACTACCATAAAACCTAGGACTTCGTCCTCCTGCCTCCTCTTCTTCTAGGGCAGGCCCATCTTGATCCACTCCTTCTTGTTGAATGCTTCCTCCATCATGATTTCTACCCTTTCTCTCATACCCTTCATCCGTGCGAAAGCCCCTTTTCGCGTGCTATCCTCGAACGACGGCGACCATGTTGCCAATTTTCCCTTCGGGGGGTCTCCTCCCGTTCCAAGGAGTCGGAGGAGCTCTCCCCGGCCGGTCACAGGGCCCTCTATGTCTACCATGTATGAGCCATTGTGCAAGTGCATGCCTATCATCTCCACGTTCGCGCACCACGGTCTCCCGAGGATTATGTCGTGGTCCATTTCCTCCATTACGGTCATCCGCTGAAACGACCAGATCGATTCCCTGACTCCTGCCTTCACAGCACACTTCGTGAAGCACCCAGCAAACGGGATTTCCCCACCTGCTCCCCGGATGCTCTCTGTTACTTCCTTGTTTACCGTACATCCCGTGATCGTTGCGAAATCTCGTCTTATGAGAGTGATTTCTCCTCCCCCGTCTACTAACGCGTCAGTATGATGAGTCCCGATCTGGATTTTCAGTTTCCCTACGGACAGTGTATGAAAGCTAAGCTTTGTCCTGGGTGGTAATCTCATGACTTCGCCGCCCTCTCGGTCGGGCAAGCTCAAACGAATGTCTGCAAAGGTTTTTTCGAGATCCTCCAAGTCCCCGTGGCTACTCTGAAGGTTAGCCACTTCTTGTGGAGCTTCCTCCACCCTCTCCCCTTTTGGTAATTCGGGGTTCTCGCCTAATTCTACTCGCTGCCGAGTCAATAGTTATCTAAGCCTTTTGAGCAACCCAGGGCTAGCTTGCACCATGGTCTGAAAAGACACTGACACCATGGTCCCTAGTAACTTGCTAATGGTGTCGTCGAGCTCAGGCAAGGTCAAGATCGAGATTTGATACCGAAACTTTTTCTTAGCGGCGGTAACTTTGTCCGCAGGCTCCTCTTCCCTAGGCTTCCCATAGACTTTCTCTGGTTCCGCGGCCTCAGGTTCTGCCTGGGGTTCGGAACTTCCGGCGACCTCCTCCATAATGGTGTCACGGTTAATCCTTCTCCCAGCCGTTCCTAGTCGAGTGGTTGAGTTCACCCTATCACTTTCGTCGTTTTCCAAGATAAAGTTGACTTGCGACCCGCGGCCCCGCAGTTGATCCCAAACGATATCGACCACCGGCTCAGCTTCTACGGCCGCTATCTCTAACCCATTGAGCATGATAACGGCTCGTCGCATTCCTCCTGGTGAGTTCCAATTCACCCGCTCTCTCTGCGGTCCGAATATCTTTCCCTTTAATGACCTGCTGCATCTCCTTTTTAGGATATCATGGTTGAGCTTTGAACATGCGCGCACATAATGTCCCATCGCGGTACAGTACTTGCATTGCTCGTTAGCAGGATCTCTCCGTCCAAATCCCCGGTTGGCTACTCCTGGCGGAACCACAGCTTCCTGGGGAGGGAGGGCGGGTCGGGATACTTGCGCCTGCATAACCAGTAGCGCGCCCTCCATTCTTTCAATTTTGTTGTCGACCCCGTGCACCCGTTCATGTAGACTTTCAATCCCCTTCTTTACCCTGTCGCCTGTTCTACCAGTCAGATCTATGACCTCCCCTTCCTTAAGCAAGGCCAATGTCTCTGTCACTACCGTCTTTTCGGCCAGATCCGTTACCGTACTGAAATCAACGTCCCTAGTGTTTACAAATTTGCTCGTCTGTTCGTAAGCCGACAGAGTCTTGTCCTTGTCGAATTCGGAGAACTGTCTGAGGAAGTACTTACTCATTATTCGGTCCGTGACCCCGGGGATTCTCAGTGCTACCAAAGTAAACTCCCGTAGGAAGTCATTGTACGTTGTGAAGTTATTCCTCTGGACTGCCGCTAAATCGGCCTCCGTTGCCATCTTCTCTGCTGCCAGATATTTTCTCATCATCACATCTCGGGTTTCTTTCCAAGACCGGCTCGCGGCCACAATGATCATTATGTCCCGTCGTAGGGTCAAAGACACATAATGCCCCAGGTGGTCCATCTTCTCTTCTTCGGTCCATTTCAACAACGCAGCCAGATTCTCGTAATGTATCAGGAATTCCGTGATGTTCGCCCCATCAAACGTCAACTTTTTCTTAGCATCCGCTAGGTAGCCTTGATTTTTGTTTAGTGCTCGCGCGAGGGACGACACTATCTTCTTAAGGCTGCCCTTGGAGCTGCTGGCCTCGCCTGCCATACTGTTATCCGGACCTTCCTTGCCGGTCTTCTGTCCCTCCCTGGTTTTCATAGTTCCTTCCGGGTTAAACCATCCCAACACTCTTTTCCTAAGGCTCCAACGTCCTTCGCATCCTCGTGTTACTGCTGGCGTGGTCGGCAGGCAGCTAGCCCTACTATCCATTGTTAGCGGAGTCGTAGCCTTTTTTGCTTCCATCCCCGGAGAGTTCTCTCTCTATTTCCTTCTCTTGCCCGGCGTTCCCCCACGGTCACTACCTTTATCCCCTTGTCCAGTCCACCTCGGTTGGCTTTCCGTTCATCCCGGGGTTTCTTCTGCAGAGGGCCTTCTTCGTTCCCAGTCATCATTTCCTCAATCAATCTTGCCTTGTATTTCGTGGTCCTCTTTTCTATCTCGGCTAGTTAGCGCCTCGCATCCGTGACCCTTACTTTCTTAGACATGGCTCTTTCCGAGTTTCGGGGGTTTGTCCTATCCTTATTTCTGCCCTCCTTCGTCTTCTGAGTCCCTTGCCTGCTTCCCCCGACTTTCCCCGAGCTTTCTCCTGTGGAGATTTCCTTCCGGTTCCCTTTGGTACCATCCGGATTTATCGATTCTCTGTCCTTCTGCCCCCCTTCGCTTTGTGCGGCACTGCCTCCTAAGCCTTGTTCTCCTTCACTCTTACAGTTATCTGTCTCCTCCTCCGTTGCCATTTTGCCTAGTTCTGCATAAGCCAAAGAATTCCCAGGACACACGCAATGCGAGGTACTTAGGTTCCCTAGGCTCCCAACTCTGTTGGCTTATCTTTACAGCCCCCTTTCCTATCCCCGTTTCGTGATTGCCCTTCCTTAAGGAGGAGCCACGACTGGCCCTGCCGCCCAGTCGAGCTATGAACGTGACTTGGCTTCCTTTATCACAAGATCGTTTGTAGTGCCCTTGTCCCGTCGGCCGATGCGAGGGAGTCCGAGTTAGGCATCCTGCTAGGGAAAGTCTTCCCGAGCAGCGTTTCCTGTTTTTGACCTTCAGGGTTATGGTCAATCATCAGGAGTCTGCCCCCTTCTTTGTTTTTCTAGTGGGTTTAAGCCATCTAGGTCTGAGGCCCCTTTCTTATTCCCATCGGCGAACTTCCGTACGCAGCGAACTATACTCGATTTGCCCTATTGACCCGCCTGAGGATGTTAGTCCCGCTCTCGCCCTCGCGGCTCTTCTGGTTCTGTCGGCTCCTCGAATAGTTCAACCAACCTTGCTAAATAACTCTCTCCTATCTCAATTTCCCTCCTGATTATGCGTTCGCATTCCGCCCAGCCTAGCCGTGACGCCCTAAACATCAAGATGTGGATGACTTCCGGTAACTCGTGGGCCCTGTTTCCCCAGAACGGCCCATGCTCCACAGCGACATCGTAGAACATCCCAATGGTAGGGGAGGGAAAGTGGCCTGCCCAGACTATCGCTGAGTCTGCCAGCTCCCGCGCCCTCGCGAGGCTTCCGAAGACGAGGTCTATCATAAATCGTGGCACTCAACATCTCAGCAGTGTGCTTGGTGCCCTGAACTCCCGCCATCCCCCCATTTCCACCCGGGTAAGTAAGCCCACGTTCCTTCTAACCCTGACCGATTGTCCTATCCGGGTCAATGTCCGGGCAGCCCTTCGAAAGACCGGTGCCAACTCATGACCTTGTGCTATCTCTACCCCCAACGAGTGTCAACCGATCTCGGGCAGATACATGGTCCCGGTAACTTCCAGATTGGAATACAGATCGTCCCCGGGTCCTCGATTGAGTCTCATCCCTATCCACCGACATTCTACCAACATGAAGGCGGCGTCCCTTCCCAAAGTCACGGCCCGCCATTCTATGTCGAACCCCCGATAGGTAGAACTCGACGTGAGGGATACTTCCCATCGTCCGCCGTTATTCCAGGGCGGCCCGAGGTACCGGGGCTGGCGTTCCATTCGCACACGGGGCTGGCGTTCCATTCGCTCACGTCTTGCTGCCATCGTTGCCTTGGTGATTCCGTGCATAGTCCACATAGAAAGGGTTACAGCCAATCCCCAGAAACCGCCCACCTACTGCCCTCCTTGTCCTTCGTGTTTTCATTTCTCTTTTCTAGTCCCATCTATCCCTCCATACCCCTAGGAGTCGTAGCCCCCTCTGGCAGCTCGTACAACCGGTAAAGATCATCTACGTAGGTCGCGCCCCGACCTACCTCCCGCCGGATGATTCCCCACATGGCCTCATCACTTATTTGTGGGACTCCCGGCCTAGTATTTACTACTGCTTGTAGAATGCAAAGCACCTCGCGCCCCTGTTCGTCCCCGAAAGGCCCCATCTCTAGAAAGGCCCGATAGTATTCTCGATACATTAACGCCTCATCAAAATTTAGCCTAGTTACGGCAGTTACTGCCTGCTCCACTCACTCTATGCCTCCCATTAGCCTCAACAGAAAGGGCGGTAGACTCATCCGTACGACCTCATTGGGCAGCTCGAAGATCCCTGCCGCATCAACTCTTAACTCCGCCGTCACGTCATCTCGTTCCGGATCTGCAAACTCAAACCCCTCCCGCCAGGTTATTTGCCATGCCCCTTCAAACATTCGCACGGGGTCATCCCCGGAGGCCAAGGCAATCCCAAAGGTCCGCCATTCTTCTTCCGACAGGTGTAAGGATCCCGTCGCATGCACTCGCCCTGGGAGGTCCAAGTTTACACCCCCGAACTCCCCTCTCGCACGCCATTCCAGCTCCACTACTAGGCACACTGTGTCCTCCACCAACTCTACCCCCACCCAGTCCATTACCGGATTGCTTACCGCATTTCTTGCCGGCACTCTTATTTCGGCTCTGCCTTCTGATATTCTTGGTGGCAGGATCCCACGAGGTCTATCCACCCAGAACGTCATTCGTCGGGCCATCTTGCGATGTCTCCTTTCCTGCTTTCTTAGTCCGATTGCTGCACCCACCGAGATTTCATGCCTTTCGTGTCTTAGTCTTCTAGCCCTCCTTACTTATCGTACACTGGTTCTTGTCGCTATCCACGACTTATACACGTACAATTCTTCCCCCCCCCCTTTCTCCGGTTGCTGCCACTTCCCCCTTGTTTCGATCCTTATGCACCATCTACGACCTAATGTACACACTCCCTTTCTTATGTTATACCTCAATTCACAAGCACCCTCCACACTCAGGCCTTTTCGCGGAGTTCGATCCCTCGTCCTCATTTAGTCGAACCACAGCACCTCAAATAGTTTAAAGACATTGTCTACGTAGGAGGGTGCGGCCGCCGCATCCCGGCTAACTATGGCGTCCCAAGACTCCGCCTCTACCTCTAGGCGGTCATACCTGCCTATTCTTAGGACGACGATGACTTCCTCGTCTTTACCTCCGTAGAAGGACCCATATTTCAATGAGAGCCTATAAAATTCCTCCCTCAGCCAGACACACTCTATATGCACCTTTCTCATGGAGTCGGCTACTTCCAAAATGTGTTCAAACCCTCCAAACCACTTGGCTATGAACTCCGGTATCCAGGCCGTTATCCGTAGACTTGGAGGCTTAAGTTCCTTCCATCCTCCCATCACAACTCTGCTACTAACTTCGTCCCATCCCTCGTTGGCGAACGGCTTGCCTTCTTTTCGGGTTCGGGCCTCTGCATCCCCTAGAAGCCACATCGGGTCATGTCCCATTGCTAACATAGTGCAAAACAGGTGTCATCCATCCTCGGAAAGGACAATCGTTCCGATTGACTCTACCTTGCCTTCTGCTATATCATCCCAACCTTCCTCTTCCCTTATCGGGTTTCAAATCCGCTCTATCCATACATATGACAAGTCCCGGGCAACCTCAAACCCAATCCAGTTGCACATGGTCCCCCTCCATCCGTTTCCTATTGGTATACGCATTTCTATTCCTCCTCTGAGTCGCCGTGGTTCCCAACCTTTGAAGGTGTATTCCATCATCCTTTCTTCTCTAGTCATCTTTCCCTTCCTTGCACAATACCACGTCACCCGTCCTTCCTAAGTTAAGTCACCCCACCCCTCTTAGATGTCTCAGTCCTCTATCTCTTCATCTTCATCTTCATCACTGAAGTCATCCTCCTCGTCGTATGCCAACTCCCTTACCCCATCTAGAAACGTCTCCCCTATTGCCACATTCCTGTAGACTATCCCCCAATGTAAAGCGCTATGGACAAAGATATTGTATATGCTAAGGCAGTTTAGTATCTCGGCCAGCTCCTCCGCCCAGTTCCCCTCGAACAACTCGTTCGGTGTATTCCCGAGTGCCAACTCTATGATCATAGCTTTTTCCCCATCTTGCGACAAGTAGACCCACCCCCGGGCTTCCACTGTCCCTCAAAATTTCAAATCCATTAAACTTGGTGACAACCTCGTCAAGCTGACATCAGTCCATATTGTTTCTATCCGAAGGAACGCATCCTCTCCTTCCAGCATTACCGTTTGATACGCTGGTTCAAGGTCCGCCCACGTCCTATTTTCCGGGAGGACGACCGATACCCCATCCTTTACATCTACTGGCATTTCCAGGCCGCTAGTATAGTTCGGGGAAGGCAACCATCGCGCCATCTTGTTTTCAGCACCCGACCCCTGCTTTTATAAGAAGACACCAACCGATCCTTTTGGTCAGGTCAACCCTTGTCCTGGAAGAGAATTATTTCAGACCCCTCAACAAGGTCTCCCTATTTTACCTCCCCATTCCTAAGTACCCCCTTCCTATAATTCCATCGCACGACCATCCATTTGCTCACATTCTTTCTTTTGGTTCCATTCCAATTGGCCTCTATCCTCCTTCCTTCCGATCATCTTTCACTCGTGCGGACTTAGATGGGGGGGGGGGGATAGACTTAGAAATATGTCCCGTCCAACAGTCCAAGCTCAATCAATTTTTACAGAGGGGGAACACATAAAAAAAATCAGGCAACCTCACATACGGGCCGGTCATCTCCTCACCGGCTATCCCAATATGGTCTCTTCGCTGGTATTATCGGTAGAGTTTTATCCCATACCTCAAGCGCAGCTCAACCGTCGCGAGCGCGGTACCCAGGTCTCGGCAAGGCATTCGCCCTTTCCTCCTTACCAAGAATACCCCATCCTGTCTTGCCGCTTTGCACATCCATACCGACACCGAGGGTTACCTCGAGTGCCAAAATACAGGGACAAAGTCAGCCGTCCGGGCATTCACTTCCATCGGTCCGACAAGAATCAACCTTTCCCAAAAGTATGCTACGAGAAGCTACTAATCGGCTCCGAGGCTCCGTCTTTGTCCGCATGCAGTGGTACTCCCTCTGCCAGCCAACAGGCTAAGCCTCGCCTGAGGAGATTTCACACCCCGCCCGACAGTTCATCGAGCCGAAGCCCGTCAACGCTCGAACGAGAATGCTACTAATCAACCGACGTGACAAACTCTCGTCTGACAGCTCGGTGGTCTGACCTCCACATACGAACACACAGCAGCCTACAAAAGAGAACGACGTTTCGCAACCCGCACTGGCCGGTGCAGACCAATCCTTTCCTTCAAAAAGGCAGGATGCTCGAATCCCTTGGGACACACATAGTACAAGTGCCATTCCCTTGGTGCACCCAGCGCTTCCCACCCCTAACTCACAGATTTTCTCTCAGGACAATGAGTGTCACACCCCCTACTTTCATACATAGTGGTTGGTTCCTTCTCGTGAGAATCTTCAAAGGTGAGCTGGTTTTCCTTGGAGTCTAGCAACTCCCTTTATTTCCCTTTTCTTCACTTGTCTGTCCTTTCATAGGGTAGGATTGTTCTTTCTTGATGACTCGTTGTGTTCATGTTGGTTCCTTCAAGCATTTCAAAAAAAGTGCAAAGTGCATGAACCCACTTGGCTCAAAGAAGAAGATAGAAGGGCACCCGTTTGGTCGGATCACTCCGCTGCGGGATTTTCATTGGAACTTGGCCTAAGCCAAGCACCAACCGCCTGCCAGGTAACCGGAACCCTTCTTTCATACGAAGAGGAAGGGTCGACTTGCGACTTGCCCAAGACTTTCCCGGACTGGCGAACACCAGCACCGGACGAAGGAGGGCTAGAGCCATTCCTCAAAGGAATGGCTGATCAAGTGCATAGCATGTATGTTATACCTCTAGGCCTGGTCATGCCATGCGCCCAGCCACTCTCAATTCTGATTTCTCACAAGGGAAAAAGCAAACACAAGTCTATTTTTCTTATCTTGGGTTATGTACACGTCAAAGCGTCGGGCGCCCCCCTCGGAATCGCAAGGGTCAGTTTAACCCAATACCCAGAACCTCCACCATTTTTGTAGGGCCAAATCCCGGTAGACTTTCCAGCCTTAGTCAACCCCACTGCGGGTCTCAGTTGGCCCGGCCCGCCCACACTCATGCTCAGGGCACGGGCCGTTCGTCCCAGGATCACCCCCATCTAGTGCTTTGAGATGGATGGGGGTGGGTCATCGCGCGAGAGAGCTTTGACATTGGGGATGTAGCTTAGCCCTCACGCCGGGTGTTAGTCTCGCTGGTTGTTCCGCAATGCTGATTTTTTTTTATTCTTTGTTGTGTTCTCATGCAATTGCTCCTTCCAATACGCAGGTAGTCCAATGATTCTTTGAGTGTTTTTTTTCTCTTGTGCGTAGGCTAAGCGTCATCCTTAGGCCACGCACCATTTCCCTAAGCAATGTGGCTATATGGCGTCATCGGGGTGTGGCGGAGCCGTCCTCCCCATTGCCTCTATGCATCCATCGGGTCTCACAATTTGTTTTTTTCCTTATTGAAGCCCCTTAGTCTTTTCGGGGTCCTCATATGCATGCACACATAACATCACAATTTCCTTGGTACGATTGCACTCTCATTTACACTCCAAGTCCTCAAGCGCAAAAGTCATTCCCGTGGGTTGGCCCTATGTTAAGGGTCCCGTAGCCCCTTTGTCCCTCTTCCCTTTCACTCTTGGTGCCTAGTTCCTCTAGCCCCTATCCCACTCAAGGCATTTCTAGCCATCACTCACCTGCACAATCCCACACAAACAAGAACATTCATACAATCCCCTGTTGAAAGTTAACACATAGCCCTTCCTACATGCCTATTTTTTCAAATCCTTTGGCTGCTCTTTGTTCCCTCTTGATGCTCAATCAGCCCGTTCTCTTCTCATAGTCATGCAGTCGGGAAAATGGTTGAGTCAAACTGACCTCACTTTCAACTTAAGTTATCTTCCGGATTCCGCCTTTCTCCCACTTTTTCAATCGTCCTTTCTCTTTTGCCTCCTTGGTGGCACAAAGGACCGACTATCCTCCCCTTGCCCTTTTTCTCCACCAAGTGAAGTCTGATTTCGTTTACCGTCCGCGCCCTGGCAATGTTTTCCAAGTGAAGGGAGAAGGGTTAGTCATATGCCAAGTGAGGGGATGGGAGAGAGGGAGAAGGAGAGAGAGAGAGAGAAAGAGAGAGAGAGAGAGAGAGAGAGAGAGAGAGAGAGAGAGAGAGAGAGAGAGAGAGAGAGAGAGAGAGAGAG